TATATATATATATATATATATATATATATATATATATATCATATACAATTTTTTATACAAATATCCTTCGCTTGTCACATAATTACACGTAATATATAATTACAATTTCTGTCGTAGAAAATCATACAAAAGTTCATGAAAAGAGCGCGTAAAAACGATATTCGTCATTGTTGAAAATTTTGTTGTCTCTTTTTTACAATGTTAATTGATTGTTTTGTCCATGCACTGGAACTTGCTTCATGATCAAAATTGTGCATTTTGACGAGTTCCCGATTAAGTGATTTGCGGAATGATTTACAAAGTGTGATAAAAAAAATACGGGAACTCGTCCTACAGAATACGTGTAACGTAATGAAAACATTCTCGTTTAGCGACAACTGGAAGCCTTATATTTCAGCTACAAACGCTGCAAGTTGCAACTTGTTCCATTTAGTTGTTCATAATCTATGAGCGGTAGTGTTTTATCGTAATTTTCGTCATCTGCGATTTTTACATATGGAGTTTAAAGAACAACGAATATGCATAAAATTTTGTGTTAAACTCAGTAAGATTGGAACTGAAACACTGACTGTGGTCAATAACCGGAGTTTGGACACTGTCATGGTTTGCTCTAAGGTATTTAAATAGTATAAATGGTTTAAGGAGAGTAGAACATCGATCGACAACTCCCGACCTGAGAAATCGTCGATATCCACAATGGACGAAACAAAGGAAAAAATTCTTGAGTTATTAAACAAAAATCGTCATTGAGCTTGAGAGAATTATTGGCAGACTTCTTTCCGTTTCCCCACAGAGAAAGAGAGTATTGAAAGGACGATGTTTTGAGTCTATAAACGAGATTAAAATGAATTCGTAGAATACGGAAACTTATGCAGCAATCTTCTAGAACTGGAAAAAATTGTTCATGCATTTTATACGAGCGAAAGGGGTCTACTTTAAAGAGGATTCTATATAAATTAATTTAGGTTTTAAAATAAAGCTTCTATAACAATAGTCCCTGTATTTTTTATCCTTTGTATTTGGTTTGGCAATTTACAAAATACAGTGACAAAAGAAAAAAATTAGAGAAAAAAGGATACAGCGAGATAAATTGAATAGCGGGGGAATTTGGATAATATTAAGTGTTTACGACAATTTCAGAAAAATATGATATTAGCATAAAAATATGAATATAGCACATGCTAATCTCAAACATAAAACAAGGCGTTTCATATTTTTCTGAAATTGTCGCAAACGCTTAATATTATCCAAATTCCCTTGCTATTTAATTTACCCCGCTGTACCCTAATAAGGAGATATGGAATATAATGGAGGAAATGGAAACAATAGAAACAGAAAGATAGACAGAATAGAGATAATAGAGGAAAAGTTGTAAGAAGAGAGGATGCAGAGAGATAAAAAATGTATCCACTTATAACGCGCATTTTTTACGATAAGACTCAACCTTTTTCCTGCCTTCTGTTTCTTATTTTTCTCTCTTCTTGCAACCTTAGACAAATAAAGATATTCTTCCTTCAGATAAAAAAAGTGTTACTTTTTTTATGTATAACTTGTGTATTACGTTACATTATTCGATACGATAGTTTGCGATAAAGTTTTTGCCAATTACTAATTAACAGCGTCCAGACGAGCAGGAAACTCTCGAGATCTTCGTTATCATGTTATGACTTTTTGGTTCAATTCGTCTTCGTATAAACGCACACGCGAGACCTACTCGACGATCCTCTCGATGTTTTCTTAAACGGGCAGATATCTCGAATCGTGTTGTTCTCGTCTAGAGGTGATAAAAGTGTGTCGCAGCCCTCGGCCTTCCAATTTCGTTGGCGATAAAGAATCGTATGACACGCTATGTCCACACCGGCGGGTGCGAAAATAAACCCCTGATATCGAGAAGCAGCGATTGCGCGTCTTCATCGAAAGGTAAAACATGCGCAATACCCCAGCACCTTGATAGTGGCAGTTGACCAGCTTGATAGTGGCAGTTCTCCGGAGCTTCCTCGAGATATCGGAATCTTATATCGATTCGTGCCATGCTAATTCGATAACATTATTTCGACAATGTCAAAGGACACGTTAATTAATTAACTTTAATTAAATTCTTCATGCTTCTTTTTATGTTCCTTCGCGTTAATTTTTGAATGTTTGCCAGGCATATCTCGAGCCGCCGCGTCGCGACTCAGATGCGCTCGGTTGGCTCTTCAGGTGATACCGAGGAGCGCGAATCGTCAGAAAGGTACCTGAGGAACTGCGCAAGCTGGAGTGACGAGTGCAGAGGGACGCGCAATCATGCTGAACGTCGTGGATACACATTCGAACTATATATCGGAGGTGTTGGCCATCAAAGGTCATCTTCGCGGCAAGGTTATCGGCTGTTGAATTGTAAAAAAGGCTGGAGCGATTTTTGTACAGTGTCAGCGTGACTTAAGAGCCAGTCCGACGAAAACATCACCGGCAGTCTGTCCGCCGACGACAACGCTCTTCCGTCGACTTATCGACTTATCCAGTCGTGAAGCGGTCGCTCCGACTCAGTCGAAATTTCTGGTGCCGTCTGTCCTCACCCATCCCCAGTCGTGTGATCGTTCGTGGAAGATCGGCTGTCTTCTCGCTTCTCGCGCACACACGGAGGTATCACCAGAATCTCTTCAGGAGACCGCCCACGACGAAGAAGATTTTGTCTCCATAGACACGACCTCAAGCCGATCTCTCTTTCTCCGAACTCGCGCAAACTTCGACAAACATGACGATCCCGATGACAGACACGACGCTGGACCTGGAGAAGACGACGATAGCGCGTTGCGTCCGACGCAGTCCTTTCCGCAGCTGGCCTGCCTGGGTCTACTTCGGTGTGTTCCTCATGAGCTTCGGCGTCTTCTACATCTTCTGGTGCACCGAAAACTTGCATGACTACGTGCAGTTGCAACTGCAACTACGCAACGGCACCAAGGCCATGTCCATGTGGGAGCGTCCTCCCGCCAAATTGATTCTCGAGGTCTACGTGTTCAATTTCACTAACGTGGAGGACTTTCTGTCCTATCGGGCGGACAAGCTTCACGTCGAGGAGCTCGGCCCTTACATCTACCTAGAGACGAAGAAACGCATCAACGTGGTGAGCGAGAACGACACGTTGACTTATCAGGAGGAGAATGACTATGAATGGGTAGGCGGCAGATCTGAAGATGACCTTATCGTAATGCCGAACGTACCCTTGCTGTCATCCTCCGCGTACGCCACGAACCTGAACTTTGCAGCGCAGCTCAGTCTCACCGCGCTGCTTTCATCCTTCAAGGAGAAGTCATTCATCCATGTAAAAGCCGGCGACTTTTTCTGGGGATACGATGACAGTTTCTTTGACGTAGCCAAGCCGTTTATAAGACTCAAGCATGATGTGCCGTTCGAGAAGTTCGGGATATTAGCTCTGGTAAGTAATTGTGTTCGATCGCGAAACGATCTGTTGAGGACGCGAACGACAATTATCGGAAAGAATTCATTAGATACGCGCGCGAATTAGTCTACGAGATGATATTGAGAAACTTTCAGTTGGTTAATATTATCGTATTTTGGAGCGAATTCTAAAACTATTTTTCCTCTTGCAAAATGTTATCCGAGACTTAGTTACTGAGCTATAAAGTTAAATAGTTAGCCTCTCAATGCTAGAATTCTGTACTCGTTATTGGAGTTAACGAGTTACAGAATCCCAGTATAGGGTTATGGAAACTAGTTATGAAAAGTAGATAGGGACGGCATAATTCACCGTCAGACACAGACGTTGGGCAATATATTTAAAGTTTTTCGTATTTGTAAAGTTTATATTGTACTTAGGACAAGTTCGCGTACGTAAACGCAATCGACTATTTCATCCTTACACGTTATGTTATAATCATTTTCAACTTAGTTAAAATAATTTATTTGTTATTGTACACAATCACATTGACATTGAAAATTTTCAAACTAAGAATGAATGTTGTCACAATGTGTCGTAACATTGCCCAACGTCTGTGTCTGACGGTGAATATATTATGTCGCTCCTGCTTATAATATATAATAATATATAATCAATATATTGTGTCGCAAATTATGCGACATACTATTCGAGAGTTCGGCAGGCAATTCCGGTAACTCGCTTGCACGTCAGTTAAAAGTTAAACATACGTCGACGCGGTAAGTGTATAGTATAGCCGCAAATCGCTTAATAAGGATTGTTTCTGACAAACCACGAATACAGCTTCTTGGCCAATGCGTCTGCATTTGTACCGGTTCCATCGACAACAAAAAATATTCTCCGCGTCTGCGCACGAACGCGATTACTTTCAAATTTGCGCGTGTTTTCCTTCCTGATGCTGCGTGATGACATCTCTGTCAAGAGGACAAACATTAAATTTGCAGAGGCATCACGAAAGAGCGATTTTGCGATCTAATTGCGAGATTGCAATCAGTAATGTAAATCGCGGATTGTAAGATCACCTCGCTCTTTCGCATTAACGTGGGCCGCGCGTCTTCTTGTTTGCAGAAAAAAGGCGTCGACAAGGATCGCATCACGATAAACGCGGGAACGCAAGACATCAACAAACTCGGTGTATTTGAGCGGTTGAACGGGCAGAGCAGCCATCATGTTTGGGGTGACGAGCGATGCGATAAACTCGAAGGCACCGACGGCAGCGTCTTCCCGCCTAATTTAGTATATAACAGAAACGATACTTTACATATATATGCTAAGCACCTGTGCAGGAGCATAGCCTTTGAGTTTCATAAACATGTGACCACTTCCAACATACCTATCTTGAGGTAGTAATCGATTACATTAACGATAGTATACAGATTAAACGAGATCGCATCTCCTTATTGCACGAGTAATTCTTTCTCGTTTCAGGTATGTATCAACACAGGAAATGTTTTCGACCAAGGACAACAAGTGTTTCTGCCCGAAAATCGGCGATTTGAGAGTATGTCCACCCAAAGGGATCTTCGACATTTCTGTGTGCGCCAATGACTCACCTATGATGATGTCGTTACCGCACTTTTTATTCGCCGACAAGTCATTGCTGGAGCAAATAGACGGCCTTCACCCTCGCATTGACGATCACATGACCTACCTGGATATATATCCGGTAAGTCGACATTAAATCTTAAATATTAAGTTGATTCTGAGAGGAAGTCTTCTTCTATAAACTCTGGAAAAGTTCTTTCCTATAAGTTATATTTTATTCTTAAATTATAATTCTTAGTTATATTTTATTCTTAAATTATTTTTAAATTATATATTTTATTCTTAAATATTTTATTCTTAAGATTTCTTTCCGTTAATAAGCAAATAAAAAAATGTTGAAATACGAACAGAGAATAAAAATGTAATTCGTAACAGAACTCGAAGTAAGATTCCACTTGTAAATGTGTACTTGAATGACCAGTCGAGTGATCATTTGACGAATTAGAATCATATTTACTGATGTATGTATACTCACTTAAATCTTCAGGTATCCTCCATATTACATGAAATTATAAGTGGAATTCTATTGTATTATGGATCGTCTAGAATAGATTCTAGTTGAAGTCGACTTGCTGCGATCAACTAAATTCTACGGTTTCAAATTACAAATTGCTACACTGACATGGTCAGAATGCAAAATTAGAGCTCGGTGAGCAATAAGCAGCTCCGTTGGTTATTAGGTTAGCTACGCGATTAGGTAGAAATAAAATATATGCAATTAATGCAAGAAAGAACAAAAATCGACTAATTGATTCGATTGTTTCTAGTATACCGCGACTCCCATCGGCGGTTGGTCAAAGATTCAGATCAACATACAGGTGCGAAAAGCAGTCGGCGTACCGCTCCTCGGGAGACTCAAAGACGAGATGATACTCCCTCTCATCTGGCTCAACCAAGGTTTGAGCGAGACCGACATTCCACAGAATTTACAAGATATCCTTTACCAGTTAAACGTCACATTGCGCATCACAGAGGCGGTCTTGCAATGGAGCAGTCTGGTAGGTATGATCCTCTCTATGGGCGCACTACTGGTTTGCTTCAAGAAGCATCGCATGGAACATCCGGACGTGGGACTCCAAATGAATTTGGCGGAACAGAACAAGCTTGGATTGGCATAAATAAATCGAAAGAAGCTAGAAGGAAGTAAGGAAGGAATCGAAGTAAGAAAGAACACGAACGAGCAGGGACCACTCGGTTCAGGAAGAGAAGGAGGGAAGGAAGTTTCCAAGGGTGCGATAAAGATGGGTGTTCGAAAGACTCGTCCTAACTTTTTAGATATTTTTCAAATTCGTTCTTTGGACGTTGTTGGACTTCCGCGCGGTCTGACTTGTATGGAAGATCCACGGGTTTCGCGGGCCGTCATGGTCGCCCGCGGGATCAGAGACTACTCTGGACGCATAATGAACGTTAAGGACGCCCATTTAATTCCAAGCCTCGCTTTCTTTATACAAGAAAGTCAGGTATAACGTTGTTCTAGCTTAACAATTATATATTTAACGTTCAATACGCGTCCAGAACAGAGTCTCAGCACATGCGGGAGTGAATTCGGGACATTTTAGCGTAGAGTTATCGATAATGTTACGTGATTTTTAAATAACGTACGGTTGGGCCTAGTGATCCGATTGTACGCGAAAGAATTTGGTCATAACGAAAAAAATACAATCTCTACGACTAATTTCTAAAGTATTATTCGCCCGTGTTGAATATTCCGTTAACAATGTCTTTCGCTCTGATCAGATGTTCGCTTTCAAACGATTCACCGGGTCTTACGAATAAAACTAGGACGACGCTTTCACAGTGATTCACAGGAAACATTGAAAGAATAATACGAGCAAAAATAACGGTGCCTACTTAGCTCTTTCGCAACAAATGGCCACTATAGTGGCCGCGAAACTGTCCCTGTATACAAATGGTGCGGAGTTTCTATGGTGCGGAAAAAATGTGCATATGTTACGTTGACGTACCGCGTTGTGACCGAGCGAACAAAAGATACAGAGCATGCATACGAATGCACATACACACAGATCCGTATTGACAGTCGTTGACTCGAAATTTGCATGTGAAGGTACGCTGCAATGAGAAAACTTGTTCTCTTCTGAGAATTAATGGAAAACAAGCTTTCTCGTGAGACCATCGACCGCGTTTCAAACTCAATCAAGAAAACAGTGTTCGAACCGTATTGAAACCGAGTGCACTTAGACTTGTACAATTGTCACCTGAAACTAGTCTCATGCGAGATGCTCAGATCTGAAGTCAGTTGAGCCTTTCCGTTGAAGCGTACGATACATTTGAGACTGCATCTGCAGTCGCGATTCAACTGAGAACTCACGTTTAACTCTGAACTCAAATCTGAGTATCTCGAGATAGTTTCTCTCTTGAGATAGTTTCAAGTGACGACTGTTAATAACTAAATTTACAGTTAGATCGAGGTTCCTCAGTTGAATTATATCGCATAATTATATACGTATGTTTCGTGAAATGTTCATGAAACATCAGACACGAGTCCACGCGACACCAACGCGAAAGCATTCCTCCACATCGCGGAAGCTTATAATATCAGACGACACACTTGTAATCATAAATTAAAAAAGAACATCTAATTTCAAACTCAAATCTATGTGTTTCACTTGAAACACAGTTTCAACTTGTCTAACATGATTAACGACCATTAATACGGACCACACACACATACACGCCCGGAACAACGCGGCCAAGCTGTGATTGAAATTTTAGCGTATGTCGAATAATGTGCAATTATGTTGACGGCCGCGATCCGCCCCGCAATGCGGCATTTACATTCGTCATGTTATTACCGAACGCAAGCGTGACACGCGCGCCACTGATGTGTAATAAATGATCGTACTTAATCGCGGTGACGCTTCGCGATAGCGCGGGCGTCAATCAATCAACTCGCTCGTTATTTCGACCCAAGCAGGATTCGACTTTGGGTGCTTTAAACCTAGTAAGTAAGTTTCATTGGGCTCTTGACTCTCATAACTCTCGAAGCGATAGTACTCGTGATATTTAACCGATATGTGTGCGTACATCTCTTGTTTTCTAATAAAATTCTTATGCGTTCAATTCTCTTGCGTTCGATCTCATTGTATTCTTTCCTTATTCGACAGCTGGAGACCTGGGGCGACAGGAGGCAAAAACAGAGCGCGCGAAAGTGCTGTGCGTTATCTTTTATGAAACGAAAGTCTTTATCTTAGTATACCTTGAAAAGAGGCTGGTTTATTTTCGTTAGCGAAATGTTTCTCTTTCTGGCACTTGCAACCGTCCTCGCGTCAAGTTTCCGAATTATCTTCGCAAGTGCTGCGATTTTCGCAGGCCGCTCGCGTCGCGTATCGCGCATCGTTCTCCTCCTCGGCTATCACCGGCCATAATTCAAGCGTTTTGTATCGCGCTAGTTAAAACGTGTACAAAAGATAGCGCGACCTTCCGTTTCCCCTCTTTCGCTCGTTACACTTAATTTATTTTAATTCGTCAGCATACATGTATCGGGAATTTGTCTCGTTGTCGCACTTAACACCGCCGATAACCCCCTGACGACGCGTTCCGAGAAGACGAGCGAAAACGCGTCAATTCGCGTGGCAATTTCTCCGTCAGTGGGGAAACTTGTTTTCACATCGCGCGATGCGAAAGACGCGTTTCTACCCCGCGCGCTGTAAGTACACTCTCGCGTGCTGTGTGCGCGAATTAACGATCGTATGCGCGCGATAACATATTACAATATTGCGCATAATGACGAGCGCGCGTCATAGTAACAAATCATGCGATTCGCGGCGGCGGGAGTGGGCTGCGCGTGGACATATTAATCAAATCGACACACAATCGAAATTTCCTTCTACCATATATTTTTCTTATTTCTTATATCTATTACGCGATCTCCCTCAATTTCTCGTTCCTTTTCGTGGAGAAATCAGGAAAAGGATCGAGACAGAACCAAGAGATTCGATTTTGTTCGCTCGAGACTGAGATAGACAGAGAGAGAGAAAGAAAGAGAGAGAGACAGAGAGAGAGAGAGAAAGAGACAGATAGAGACAGAGACAGAAAGAGGGAGAGAATGGAAATCTTTCCGGGACAGAGACAAAGGATCCTCCATTCGGGATCCTTCCGATCGTGTCCTCTGTTTTTCTTCTCTCACAAGATTTACATATACGCGCGAATGTTAGTCTAATAAGATACATGCCGAGAACGCAGAGAAAGAAGAGGTTACAACCATATGCATAACGATTACAATGACACCGATGATCCGATTTCGCGCAGGCACGCGGGCGCAATTCATTTGGCATCTTTTGATTTCTATCATACAAAAGTAAATTTATTTAACGTCTAATTATATCTACGCACAGTTAATATTATTTATAATATAATATAATATAATATAATAATAATAATAATATAATAGTAATACATGTGTACAAACGAATAACGAGAAATAGTACACTCGTGATAATTACAATCAGTAGACGATAACGGCGGCCAGGTTGTATTTACAAGTAGAATTTCTCTCGTTTTACTATAACGCCGCGATGCACGTAACTCGTATCGCTAACTTCTTCTTGGTCGCGACGACAGCAGAACGCGTGAAATCCCGGATTAAAGTCGCCAATGCAGCTTGGCCTCGGGCACGTCCTGGACGGAATATCAATTCGCATCATCTCCGATCTTACGTAAGTATTCGCGGCGATAATCGTCTGTATTGTGTGTCTCGCGATTAAACAATATAAAATCCTGAAACGATCACGAAACGCACGCGTCAAAAGAGCAGCTTATTAAACAGTTTAAAATAATTTCGGCAAAAAGAAGATACGTCGTAAATGTCAGCCGCGAAGTACCTTACAGGAATATCTCAATCGTGTGGTCGAATAATTTTTTTCTTTCAGTTCTTATATAATTTTTGAACGTCATGCTGATAAAGAAACTCTATAATAAACGTTGGATTTCGACCTCTCCTTGACGATGATAAAAAGAAACTGGTTTAAATGATCGAGATGTCGACAGAGTTAAAAGAACAACTTTGCTCTAAATCGATTCGACTATTATTCAAAATCTGATTTTGAGTTTGGTGGATACGAGACTCACTGCACTGCAAATTCAAATGTGTTATTTTTAACGCATAAACATGTAACTTAGCTGAAGCTCTTTTTAGACGTTTCTTGTAGTTTCAAGTCACGTTACTTAACACATTTAAAACGTGTAAATCATAGTTCAACGTGTTAAATGACATGGCTTAGAACGGTAAGAGACATATAAAAAGATTCACAGACAAAATAACATATTTGGAGTCGCAGTATGTCGTCGATCGCAAAGTTGGGACAAAGGGAGCTCTCGCGAGATGAGTCCGTCGAAAAAACGATCGTAATCACAATTAATATCGTAAATAAAAGAACGACTGCTCGTAAATTCATCGCGCAACGCTTCGTTCTCTAAGACCGTATTTGTTGCGCTTCATCGTGTCCATGAATTCAGCCGTTCTCTCTCTCTCGCAGGATCCAACGTCGAATTCATCGTTTTCGATCACATCTCGTGCGACAACGCGACGCAACACCGACAACACCCGCTTCACGTCTCATGCTCGTCGTCCGGGAGGAGCGATAACCGTCATTCGCAATTTATTTGTACTCACGCGACTCGGCCGCTTGTCAAAACAGCTCCCCGGGGACCGAGGAAGGAAACACACGAACAATACAAAACGCATCGGCGTGCGCGCCGATGTGCACGATAGTTCTCACTGCGCGAGTCAGAAAGAGAGTCGTCCTCACTTCCCCTCACTGCAAATCCAGGTGTTATTCCGGCTGAATTTCTTTTTACATGTTTCTCGTTTTAAGCCCCGCCATTTGACACGTTTGAATACGCTAAATTCTAATTTACACGCCTCAAACGCTTTAAATGACACGACTTAAGGCCGCGAGAAACACACGAAGAAAGCTCCAGCCAAATTGCCCGCTTGCTCGCCCAAAACTACCACACTGGGATTTATAGTGTCCTCTCTTTCTCGCCATCGCGAGATTAAAGTACGAAAAAATACGTTGGTCCTAAACATAGTAAAGCATGCCCGTCGCCTAAACCTAATCATATAGATAATTAGATTATCGTACAAGTCCCCGCGACACTCGCGCGCAAATTCACGTGCGATCCGTCGCGAGCCGGACGGATAGAGAGAGAGAGAGAGCGCAGCTCCTCGCACTTGTCGATTCCTCGCGTCTACTTAGAGTGCTGGAAGGCCGGGTTCAGCTGGCCGTTCTTGGTGTTGGTCGCGTTTGCCGGCAGCGGATTGCTTAGATGCAGCTTCTCCTGGCGCTTGGCGGCACGAGCCAGGCACATCAGGGCGCCCAACAGGATGATCACGCCGAGCGCCCCGATTACGCCAGACACTGCGGCGCGAGCTATCGGCGGCAGATCCACGGCCAGCTTCAACAGAGAGCGCATCTGCGGAGGAAGCTCGTCGACGCACTGCAAAACGAGGAAAGGAAGAGGATGTCATCGTCATGATCAAGAAAAGCTTTTCCGTTGAATCACCGCACAGCTCGGAAATTTTTTTATTAGTCACAGAGGTGTGTTCCAGAGAAATTACTTCGATAACAAATTACGATAGAAATTGTTCATTAACATCGCTCGGACGCGGCGTCACCCATATCGACGTGTAAGTTTCCGAAAGAACCGTATGCGATTCTACTTGATGATGATGCTAATCTGTATGACTGTACTAATTATTCAGACAACGACAAAAATTATGCTAATTACGTTAGCTCGATACTAGTAAAGTATCGAACAGTGAGTTCGAACACATCGTTTGATGTGTTAATAGCGTTAGTAAAGCAGTTCTATCGTTATTTGTTTTGCCAAATTATAATCCAAAATATATGTAAAAATCTAATTAGTTCCAGAATAGTATTAATATGATAATGTGATTAATTTCTGAGACATATGTAAAAAAGAATTAACATAGAGAGAGGAGATCTCCGTTGATGTCCCAAAGGATAAATCGCCGAGCGAAAATTCGGGAGAAGTAGAGACGTATTATCATAAGACCAATGAAATATCACTACATACCGCGACATAAATCAGGCTCTAATAGGAGAACGTTTGAGCCGCGCGGGAATGCTAAGTGGCGGGGACTCTCTCAGCGGCAAATTTAACGCGCCACATCAGCGGGGCGCTTCTCTCGAAAATAAACGAAAAAATCGATTTCTCGTTCTCGCGTCTGGAATTAGCGGACGTGGTCAAACCAGATTTCGCGTATTAGCCTTTCGTGTGGTGGACAAACACCCGAGACTAACCGGGTTCGGAGGACGTTGTATCGCGCGTGGACGCCGTCGAACTCTTTATTAGCGGCGTCTCCGGCCGTGCCGGAGAAGAGGTTCCATTAAATATGAATCATGAGCTAAATGCGCGGTCCGATGCGGCGCTACGTGCACGGTATTCAAACGCACGTTCGCGCAAGCCGAGAACAACAGGCACGTTCCTCGCCATTGTCGCCGAACGGAAGAGACCGGCTCGAAGACCGCAACGACCACGATGACGATTTGTAAGCGCGACGCGGTATCCCGTCGTCAGAGACATGGCTAAGTAGAAAGAGAGGTCACCGCGAGCCACGGTGATTACTCACGAAAGAGGTCCCATGTACTTGCTTGTTTCTCCAGATATGCAAAATCGATAGCGACGTGAAAACCGAAAAATCTACTTTTTTAAAGTGAATCAGTGAAACATCATTGAAAGCAGTAAATATACATTGATTGACTACTGAAACAGTGCTGTACTTATAACTGATATCAGTTATAAGTAATTCTATATCAGTTATAAGACTATTCACTGATTTACTTTAAGAGAGTACTCAGACAATTTGGATAATCTGAGTGACTCGGGATCTAGGTTTGAATGAAAATCAAAATCCGACTTCGTCGAATTCGAATACAATTAATTAAGTCAAGTCTGTAATTGGATTAATTAAATTGCTGTTGAAAACTATATTGATTTACACGGAAAAAGCACCTCCGTTGGTGTAAATGAATATTCTGTTATCTGAAAATCAGATGAAAAACTCGGTTGTAGGAACAGAAAAATTTTTATAAAAAGTTTCTGCTCTTTCTCCCGCTCCCCAGTTGCTTCTCAGTTACCTCAGTCGAAAAATTTGATAACGTGAAATGATATGTTATCGCAGCTGAAAATGTTTGTTCAAATATTCAGCTGTATCAGAACCTGATTACAACAACTGAGGACGATTGGCCGAGTAGATAAATTTTTTACAAAAAATTGATCGAGATAACGCCAGGATAACTACAGGAAACTCTCTGTTCCTACAACCGAGTTTTTTATCCGGCGTCTATTCCTACTAGCCAACGAGAAATGCAGATACATTAACGGAATTGATTTTTCCGTGCAGTACTGAATGCATATAAACCGGCAATAATAATTTTAACATTTACTAGACTTGGTTGCGATCGAATTACTTGGCACAATGCGCAATATGTCTACATATTCATGCAGTGTTAAGGTCGTTTCAAGATAACGTCGCTTCCTTGGAATAATCAACAGTCGCGATGCATGAATATGTAAAAACATCGCATGTAACCGATAAATTTTATTGTAATTAGACTTAATAAATGTTAAGGCTATTATGTCGAATTGTGCACGTATCGATTGTCAAGTTTTCGAAGAGAGCCGCATTAACATTCGTCATTTGAAACTTTCCTCAGGTGAGATACTCAAATTTGAATTTAGAGTTTATTGTGAATCTTTCAGAGAGCTGAATCGTGATTACAAATGTAATGTCGCATGTATCGGGTGATTTAAGTAAAAAACTCAAATCTAATTCTAAATTCATATCTGAGTAGGACAAATAATGACTATTAATATTTCAGGTAATGATTATTGATATGGGCCCAAAGTTGCCGCGAATGCGTCTACTGCGAATTTAGATCCAGATTCAAATCTGAAACCGACGCTTTGACCATTTGGAAAATCCGAGATATATCCGAGTCGTGGAAAATCCGAGATATCCGAATATCTTGAAAAATTCGAATGACTCGAAAATGTGGATAAAACGAATTTGAAACATTTATCTGTTATTCGCATAAACGGATGTCTAGATAATATTAAGTTTGAGCGAATCTTGAAGTCCTTGAAGCTATGATTCAATCTCATTCGCGCAAAGAAATTTTTCTGCAAAAAATTGCTGATTTAGTATTTATACAGGCTTCTCTCGACATGCAGTGGTCGTAAGCCGCTTGATTTTTCATTCCGAAGACTCTTGTCATCTCCTTTTTATCATTTTCATCGTGTTTATTATCGTTGGATGGAAACATCCAGTTCGCGCACAAAGTTCGCGTTTCCTCATACTTATAAACGCACGTATGTAAGAAAAAAGGCAAGCAGACAACAAAAAATTGCATTCGTGTGGCAGCGATGAGCGTCACGCTACGAGCGTCTCACTCACATCGGCGTTGCTCATTAGGATAATCACTAAAATCTATGCAACGTTAGTCAGTCTAATGAGGGAACGCGAATCGCCACGGGCAAATTTTCTTGCGGCGCACCTTTTTTGTTGTGAACAACGCGATTATTAAGCATGAAAAAGCGGTCATCCTCGCTCCCGAGGCATCCTTGTATCCTCGCGTCTGGTTTGTGTTCTCTCCGCAATTTAGTACACGCGTGATAACAATCTCGTTATATTTATTCGATACGTTGTAAACACAGAGCGTCGCAGGTAATAATCTAGAGGGAAATACGCGATGATTCATACATGATAAAAAATCTCAACAAAAGTTAGAGTTCTGTAAACCACGAGAATCACATCACATAATCGTCATGTAATCGTCGACAGCGTAATCGTTGTCGCTCAAATCGGCTCGATGATTTACGATAAAAAATATTCAGTCGACGCGGTAAGCAAACACAAATAAAAAAAAAAGAACGGCTGTGAAAGAATGTCGATTGCACTCGTCGTTAATTATTCGCGTGTGACACGTTGCCACGCATTGCTTCTTTAACAAACACTACCGCGCGTAATGAAAGACACGTAGTGCTCCACGTATTATTATATATTATTACATAATTGCTATCATCATGGCGTCTTTATAGAAGAGAGAGACATCGATGAGCGCCTTTGCGGAGCGAGGATAATCGTCCCTCGGATCGAACAATTACGCGCGGCAACGAGCTCGCGCGCTATACTTACATCCTCGAACCACATAATGGGGAAAACGATGTCGGGGAACGAAGCGACTTGCTTGATGTCTCGCACCTGGCTAACCGCCAGATTTATCTGCACCCGTGCGCGCGCCCTCATAGCTGTGCCCATTATCGGTTGCACGTCGATGTAGAGCTGGTGCTTCTCGCGATGCGGTGGCGATATACCCGTCACAGCTTCTCTCAAGGCTGGATCAGCTGTAAAGAGCAGAAAGCGGTACCAATGAGGAACAAAATGAACGAGAAACAATCGAAGGAATGGATTGACAAAACTGATTTTCGTCGAAGGGTGTACTATCATACGATAAGTCGACGCGAGAAATTATCATCGTTTCTTTATTAAATTCTCGCAGGAATTTTCGGCATTTGAAGGAAAAGTTAGAAAATTTTTGTTAAATGTCTAAAAATATATCGAGTCAAAGTTTCTTCTTGCTCATTTTATTCGTAATTATTAATCCTTCGGAATTTTCAATTCTATCTTTGCGACAAACACGACAAAATTTTGCATGTAGAGATTGTTATAACTCTTTTTTCACACTCAAATTCTTTTCAATTTTATTATGTTTCTAGTAGTGCACAGGAATAGAGACAATCATTAAAGTCTAGGGGAAAGTTGCCGGAATCGTACTGGTCTTTTAAATCGCGCCTCATTAATCGTACTTGATTTTTTAAAACGTTTGTAGCGCACATATAAGATATAATTAGTATTAATTACAATTTAATTATTATGATTAATATACTAAATTAATCATAATTAAATAACTTTTACTATATAACATACTCTCTGTGTAAGTGAGCCTTATGAATCACTCAGAGATCTTAGTTGGAATATCGCTTTAATCCTGCACTACTCATTTTCAATCTTCTCTCTCTCTCTCTTTCCTTCCCACTTCTCATCGCGCTTTAAAGTACGAGACTGCTTTCTCCTGCATCGCGGTAAAACGTTTCAACTCACGGTCCAACTCAGTACGCTCCAAAAAATTGCTTAACTCTTTCCGGACTATCGCCGCTGCTCATCTATGCCACTTGCCCTCGATAACTTTTTTAAAATTTCACCTGCTCTGATGTCCAATTACGCGGATATTCCATACCCCTCTACGTATTCTCTAGTCAGACCTAATAGATTAACGATTTTAATCCATTGCCACCTCGCCTTTTGTGTGGGTATACTTTCTTGAAATTACGATTTATTCTATGCATCACTTTCGATTATTATTATTATTATTGTTGTTGTTGCCAATCAGTACTGTTATTATTATTGTGAATTGTTGGGCAACCATAAGAGATCGTACGAGCGCTCGACAAATATAACTGCGATAAGATTGTATTTGTGGCGATCGTTTTTAACGAGATGATAATGTTACGCAAAACGATAACGATAGCGCGAGACATATGTTCACCGAAAACAACTCGGATTGGAGTGCGTCAACTGCATTGAGCACTGCAAACTTCACATTCAGCGCTTTTTGCGCCAAGTAACACATCTCTCATTTCCCCCCTCGGTCTCTCCCTCTACATCCCGGTTCCGGGAATTTAACTTTTAACGTTCCGACTATTACGCAAATTTGACGTAACGGCGATTTGTACCTGCGCTGTCACATTTTTACCTGACGCGGCTAATGAGCAATAGAAAAAGGGGTAAGGAAAAAACGAAGACAGAGAAGAGACCAATTTAACGAGACGCTGCGCTCGTGCCTTTACATAATGACGTTATTTCATAGTGTCAAAAGTCATTCTATACGGTAATTCGTGATACGGACATAATGCGGCGCAGTTAAGTGGCGCTTAATCGCCGGTTGAGCGGTCTAAGAGTCGCACTTAAGGCTCTTAATGCCTTTCGAAACGCGAACCATCGACAGCTACGCGCAAATACAACAGCAATGACGTTGGCAAGGCGGAATTCATCGATCTTGTTCATCTTCGTCGAACTTTTCTCATGTTAACGAGCCTTCACGTCGCGATTGACTCCTACATCACCGTCACCGACTTTTTCGTCAGAAACGAATTGTCATTGATCGTCGGTAATTAATCCGCTCTGAATACATTGCAAAAAAGTATACACGCGGCGCAAGAAATCGCATACTGCAGAAAAAAATTGACGGACTTACGTAACACTTAGATGCTCGGTTCCTTTCACGTACTCGACGAGACATCGGGCGTCAAATTTGCGCGATGAAAATTCGCAACTACATTATATTTTCTACTTAATCGTCCTGTGCGCGTCTTGCCTTACATCTGAACCGAGTACCTTCGCCCTAATGCGTTTTTTACTCCAGCAGGGGACATTCAGAAAAATACATATTGCGTTCAAGTGAATGTTACTTGTTTCGAGTATTTAGTAAGTTTATATATTCGCAAATCTATCATAAGTGCAGGAAAGAACTTAAAAATTTGTAGGATATAAAGTTTATTTACATAAAAAAACTTCACTTTAGAAAGAAACTTTATATCCCGCGAATAAATATTCAAATATATTTTTCTCAGTGCATGTCATAAGCATCGAATTGATTAAAGATATATCTTTAATCATTTTTGCATCTCCTTCTATGAAGAATATTAAATTTACTCATGTTAAATTAAATTTAACAAAAAATATTAAATTGAAAGAAAAATTTGTGATTTACTACTACATAGAGTCGAGCTAACTCTTTTTTTCAACAAAGTTTTATGATATTCTTGTAAAAAAAATTAATTCTTCTTTTGAGCACACGAGCTTTTCTCAAATGTGTGGTGAGTATATTTGAAGACAACCATTACTTAAAAGAAGGAAGGTAAACTGAATAATCGCATTTCTTAGTAGTAGAATGTTATTTTTCCGTGTGTACTACCTGCTCACGCGTCGTCGGTGTGACGAGAGATCGCGAGGCTCTTAAAATCCGGAGATCGAAAGTAAAAGCGACGCGGAAGATCCGTGCAGTAACAAAGCAGCGAGAGAGTCTGTATAATATTTCGTGGGAGAATTGCGGCATCCGTGGCGGATATGACAGGAAGAGAAAGAGAGAAAGAGATTGTTCTTACAAGGAGAAGAAAGAAATCAGTCCCGTGGTAAAACCGACTCGACTGTACAGTCTCGTAAAGCCGGAAGTGGCGTGACAGGTAGATTTCGCTTACGAAACCGGCACGCACTCGGACGATCTTCGCGAAACCTGCCGATAGATCGGTCGGTCGGTCAGTTGGTTGCCTTTTCTACGTAAAGAACAGCGAGACGGCGAGGCATCAGGTAAACTCTCTCGTTAGCAGCATCCAGGAAGTGGCGATGCGAGCCGTGAGCGGCGCGAATCACCGGGAGAACGTCTTTGTACGAAACCCACAGACTACGCGCTTTATGTAGCGCGAAATAATAATGTGGAAATAATCGGAGCGGATTATGCGTCGCGATTGCGTAAGGCGATACACTTTTGGAATCGCGTGAGCCGCCAGATTGATCGCGACGCGACGCCGCTTGACGGAAACCGGGACGGGGCGATCGGCTCAAACGTTGAGCGCGTTGAGTCACGGCGACGTTACGTCAAAAGAATCGGATGATATGTATCGCGTCACGATTAAGAGAACTCGCGCGATCGATCCCGACAATAATAACAACGGCAGCTGGAAGGCGCAATATTCGCCCGAGCCTTGCTCAATCGTTGCGCACTTCTTCTCGCACTGCATTCAGCGGCCGAGGAATCGAATTGCCGCGAGTGTTACTCTCTCTCCAGATTGCAGGTAGTCTTTTTCTCGCGCGGACGATTTATCAATATCGCTCCGACGCCGTTCAAAAACCGCCATCGCGTGCTACTTACCTAGGTAGAAATGCGGGAAAGTGATGAGAACCGGCGAATCGTACTGGCACAGAGAGACGTTGAACGTTCCTTCTGGTGCACAAGGTGGCCCAGCTGGGCAGTAGCACTGCTGCGAGGGTAGATTCTCCACCGAGGTGAAGACGTTCTCCGGAGGCGCGAATCTATAACCAGGAACCTCTCCCGCGCCTATCACATCGCGCTGAAAAAATATTCGAATTTGTTAAAGGCGATCGTATCAAAATTCGATATATTTAAAAATATGCTGAAGTTTCACTGGACAAAATCTTCAATCCCGAATTGGAATTCTGATTTTACATTAACCCCGCATAAATTCCGTCAAACTACTTCCTCCATATTAAATATTAGAGTTTGGAAATAAATGAATAAATGAGGTAATACCATCTTATTTGTTATTTTTTACTGATTTTTAATGTTGAACGTTTTAATAGGATTTGAAAATCCAAAAAGGAAAGAAAGAAAAGGAGTTATAGGATAAAATGTGTCTGAAAGCACACAGTAAATATTTTAATATAGATTCGATACACGATACCAAGGCTGAGTAGAAGTAATAAGGAAGCATAATTTTTTAAAAGATGTCATAGTAGGTTATGATTATTATTCCAAATTTATCTCAATATTTTTCTTTTTCCTACTTATATAACATGGATTTTGCCTTTTAATATTAATATTAAGTAGATTTTATTTTATTGCGCGTGAAACGTATTTATCTACGTACATGGTAAAAAAGAATGATTGTGTCAAACAAAAATAGTAAAATATGACTTTAGCACTTTTTTCTGGCTACCAATTCATTGCCTCATAAATGTAAATGATTGCGACAGAACATTTTTATGAAGTCAATAAAAAAATTGGTTATAGCATCAATTTTTTGTTCAGTGTAGTTATCCACGTAATGTTCTATAAATAACTCTATAATGTTCTATAAAAACTCATGTTATTTACGTTTGGTAAATGAAATGATAGATAGATTCCGAAAAATTACCATTATTAATTAATTTTCTTGCGATTAGATTTGCATCATGAGGTCACTATCAGAAAACAAAAAGCTACTTAGAGCTCGATATATATTTCGGCAAAATATATATAAATTATTAAAATTATATAATAATCATTATTATATTAAAAACACAAATTATTATATTAAAAAAACAAAAAATATTATATCAATATTAAAAGCACACGACACGTAATAATTATGTCGAGGAAACAATGAAAATGTGACTATGAAAATATATAATTGATAAAGTATACCTCAAAGACTAACGGTAACGTTCTGCAGAGGTCCTTGTCGAAGATCTTCAGTATGGTCTGCTTAGTGATGTGAGGCGGGAATATACTGCCGTCGGTGCCCATCACGGAGTCGCACTCCTGCGTGGTCCAGTGGCCTAAGGTGTCCTTACCGTTCCACCTGTCCAACATTCCGAACTTGGTGATATCACTTGCGCCCGTGAATATCGTGTAGAGGTCCGGCATGGTGGAGTTTTTGCCGTACAGCAGACCAAATTGGTCGTACGGCAGTTTTTGCTCCTTAGGCACTACGTCCTTGGCCAATTTCAGCAGAGGATCCTCATAACCCCAGAGTAACTGACCAACTGATACTTCGACGAATGGCTTGATCTTCAGGATGTCCATAATTGACGCCATGGCCAAACGCAGGAATCGGGCAGCGTGCTTTGACTGGCTGGTAGCCGACAACATGGGAACGTTCGGCACGACCACCAAGTCCTCCTCGGAGCCGGCTGACAGCTCCTGAAATTTCGCAGTGAGAAAAAGACGAGCCCGAGTTGAGTCATTGAGTCGACTTGAATAATGAGAGGCTTAAAATAGAGGATGAGTGCACGACGAATGGGTCCGTTCGAAAGGAAGAAGAAACAGGAAGATATATGAATTAATAATCAACACGTAAAGGTATAACAATAAAAAGTAATCTAGAGAGTAAGACGCGGAAGAAAATTCTATAAAAATCATAGAAATATAAAACAGAAATATGAAATATTAGGTGGTAAACTTAGTTCCTGCGGCTCACAGTTAGATGACGTTAGTTGTAGGTGTAATTTATTTTGACATCTGAAACTGGCTGCATTTTAGAGGTTAGACATTTGTCAATAAAATTCAGTGCGAAGAGATTCATTTAAGCGAGCAGTGCTATTTTTTCTTTTGATTAAATATGGAACGTGATAAGTTGTTTTTTCGACATGTGCTGCTTCATTACTTTGACTTGAAAAAAACTGCAGCTGCAGCTCATAAATTGCTTTTCGAAGCTTATGGCAATTATGCTCCATCGGAAAGAACATGCCAAGTATGGTTTCAGCGATTTAAGAGTGGTGATTTTGATGTCAATGATAAAGAACGCTCAGGCCAACCGAAAAAGTTTGAAGACACCGATTTGCAGGCATTATTGAACGAAAACTCTACTCAAACGCTCCAAGAATTGTCTGCAGCATTAAATGTTACTCCGATGGTTGTTTCCAAACGTCTACATGCAATGGGAAAAATTCAAAAGGAGGGAAAATGGGAAAAACCGCAGGAACTAAGTTTACCACTTAATATAAAATGAAACTAGTCTCTCACGTCGAAAGTAAAAGCAATAAACTAATTTACCTAGAGGTTAATAAAAAGATATTTAAGAGAGCAGTAATTTAATTTATTTAATTTGCTTGGAGCACAATAAAACGATATTTGAGTGGTAAATATTAATTTACAGTGTTAAAATAATGTATAAATAAGAAATTTAAAAGGTTCAAACTTGAAGAGTCACAACTCTTATGTCGGACAAGAATGTAGTCAAAGGAAATTTCAAGCATTAATCATATGATGGCAAGTAAAAACTTGACGTAAGTTGCAATATTCAACTTCCGCAGACTTATAAATATTCCGAACGGTACGCGTGTGTTTTCTCTCTCGCTCCATGAGTCTACGTTAGTTCACTCCGTTGCGAGCGTTTCTCTGATGCACGTAGAAAGTCAGCTCGCGGTGATTTCGATGCGCGCACAAGAATAGCTCGCGCAGCCAAGTCGCGCGCAGAAAGAATGCATCTATGACTGATTCAGACAGTGTGAAGCGATTATCATTCAGCGCGACACAGATTCTCGCTGTTTTTTTTTTTTTTCTTTTTCTCAGTAACCAGTCGATATTCCGGGTGTTCGCGTTTCTCGGCAAACTAACGATTACGCGCGATACATCCTGAGCGACCAAGAAACGCGCATCGTCTCGAATGACAATCGGACGTCTTATCTACAAATAGTTGTGCTTTTTTTACTTGGAAACATGCCTTGGCAGTGTTTGCGCAAAAATCCAGCAACCTTCTAGTCCTTTTTATTTGCGATATAAGAAACAATGTATAGTTTGTAAATACAGATTCGCGACTAAATATAAGCTTAGCGAATCGATGTCTTGATAACTTGGCGGCAGCTGTCATGAATGAATATTGCATAAGATGCATATGTCAATAATAAAAAAATCAATAGTTGGAATTTATACACAGGTAGAATTTTATTGGAAAAGTTGCTAGAATTTTATAATCAAAATATTTTTTTATCTTATTATCTTCCCGTTTTTATGTGTACTATTTATATTTTTAGAACTGAAATTTATTATTAAATTACTATAAAAATTAATAAAACATATAGTAAAATTAAAAAGAATTTATATACAGAAGAAGCTGCACAACATTTTCACCGTGTAGAAGCTATAAAGAAATAAGTCGACGTTTTTATATTCGTCTCTTTAGATATGACTGAAACTCGAAATTTGCCATCGGCAGATGAAAGCTTTCCTACGTTGAATGCAGTCATCGAGACGTTAACATCTAACACGAAGAGAATATATCATAGTTTATTTTCATATAAATTCTTTTCAATTTTATTGAAATGCTTTTTTAATAATATGGGAATAGAATGTCAGTAAGGTCTCTAGAAATTTCGCTAGAAATGTAACAAATTTTTAATAACACGTTTTAGTTCCAAAACTATAAATAGTATGCATGAAAAGTAAGAAGACAATAATAGATTACTACAAAATGTCGATCTGCTCTTCGATTATAAGATTCCGCGGTAATTTCTACTATAAAATTCTCTCTGTGTGTGTAAACTAAAAGGAAATCAAGAAGCGATAAGTTGCGTTCCCACTGTTTGAATTACACTCGAACATGTTAATACGAGGACATGCGTGTTAAGACGAGACTCTCTATCCTAGAAAGTACTGTATTTCAGGAATGATACCGTGGTAGGTTCGCCAAACGGTTAAGACCTGAATCGCTAATGTCGCGACTCACTAGCGTCGTAAATCGCCGGCGAGAACTTACCGGTGCGTAGACGAACGTTTTCTTGACCTTATAGGTAACGGTTCCATTGTCGTTGAATTTGATGTCCGTCTTTTCCCAGCGCTGCGTGTAAACGTAGGGGCCCAGCTCTTGCAGCGCGGGCTTCTCGCCATTGTTCAAGAACTCATCGGCGTTCGTCACATTGTAAATGTAAACCTGCATACGAGGCACCACCGGCGGGTCCTTCCACCACTTGTACGTGCGACCGCCTTCCCGTATGACGAGTTCCTTGTCCAAAACCAGATCGATGAGATTGGGGAATAGTATCGCCAAAACGATGGCCACTATAATTAATAGGACTCCACTCGCCACGGCCGCCCCTGAGGAAAAACCGATAGACGTTGTCAAGGACGAGTCACTCTCAACAGTTACGACCACGAATCCTGCTATATTGAGATGCTAATTAAAATGTTTCTGGTGAAGTGACTTTTACACGAGAGTATTGGATAAGGAGAGAAATTCGATAATCTCGAGACGTGATCTCAAGAAAAAAGAATCAATATCTCGCAATCGCTTCTTTTGTCGAACGAACGCAAGAAAGATAAAGCATTAACAGGGATTTAATTTCATGTAAGATAATTATCTCATCTCGAAACAAAGATTATATTTCTCGTATATATATTTCTATATTTCTATATTTATATATTTCTATATTTCTATATTTCTATATTTCTGATTCTCTCTCGTTCTCATTTACTTAAAACAAATCAGTGAAGATGTTTATTTATTCGAATCAATAAAAGAAATATTATTTCATTGATAATTGATAATTTATATATATATATATATATAATTATATATATCTCTATATTTCTAATTCTCTCTCGTTCTCGTTTACTTAAAACAGATCAGTGAAGATGTTTATTTATTTGAATCAATAAAAGAAATATTATTTCATTGATAATTGATATATATATATATATATATATATATATATATATATATATATATATATATAT